TGATCGGAACATGTGGCACCATTCCCAGCCATGTCAAGCTCGGTCACGCGATCATTGCATATGTCACAACGCATCGCACGGGATGCTTGAGCGTCGGCCCAACGCAAGGTAACCGAGGCGCGGGTAACCGGATGGGCTCGCGGCGACAAGCGGCGTGCTCATGGGGCAGCAGAGCAAGCGCTGCGAAAGACTGACAGCGCACAGCCGCCTCAGTTTGGGGCAGGATCGCGAACAAGAACGGGGAACCGCACCCACACGCACGAATCATAAGAGCAAATCAGACCACGTACCCACGCCTTGCGAAAATGTGCTCCAACAGAATTTTGGGACGAAGGAGTATCGGCGCGCGTCTATGCAAACGGCGCCCGCCGTGATCTCGCCGCGACTTGCCTTGCAGTGCCATCGACGGGGACATCGCAGAACAATTCCGCTTGATTAAGTGGAGCGCGGCCGTCGCCCCCTTTGTACCTCGCATGCGTGCGTCGGCGCATGAGGTGCCAGAGGGCGCATGCAGCTCGCAAGTGACCCAGACACCAGAATTCATCTGAATACACGCCGGTCGTTGAAAGTACGTATTTCTGGATTCCCAGATCCCAATCTACTTCAAGCGCCTTCCTACTTCAAGAATCGACATGCTTTTGCTGTGTTTTGTTATTCTCTGGGAGGACCTGCACCCAATCTACTACATCCGCCTTCCTACTTCATGTTTATACCTACTTCTTCCGACCGACGTGTACTTCTATGTTGGTGGTGTCCTGCGGTTACAGGGCAGTCAACCTATCGATATCAGCCCTGCGAATCTTGGTGTGCAGTCGGTAGAGGGTGGGACATGTAGAGACGGGTCGCTCATCAACTTGGGGACGTGATCTCAACGGCGCGATCGCCCGCCTCGGGACCCGCCAAGGCCCGATCGGAAACATGATCGGCCCACCAAGGGACAGCCCGACCTGGCGGCAGCGCGGACGAGAACTCGCCAACCCGAGAGATCATATCCACGATCAGGCCGTTGACTCGGCCCTCGGAGGCGTGCGCCGGCCAAACCATGCGCTCCTCGCAAAGAGCACGCAGAGGCGCCAAAGCATCCAACGCCTCGGAGGGAAGCTCGGGAACGGCACGCGGTCTCCACCCGTCGACTTCGACGGTAGTGGCGGCAGAGAAAAACTTACAAGCTCGGATGTCCTGGGCCGCGATGGCGGGGAGCTCTGGGACCTGGTCAAGCGCCGCAGCGCGGAGGTCAGACATGGCATCACCCCCAGCGGCAGGCTGGGCCGCAGCGCGCGCGCCAGCGGGCGCAGCAGCGGGGGGCTCAGCCCGCTGCTCGCGCTGGCGCTCGGCCTCGGCCTCGCGCGCCTTTGCCGCCGTCGCCGCCCTCCACACCTCAGGGCTGAAGGCCTGCATCGCCTGGTCCGCGTCGCGCCGGACTTGCTGGGCGATGATCTGAGCCTCCTCGGCCTCACGCAGGGCCTCACACGCGTCGGTGGGCTGCTCTCGAATGTTCAGCGCATTCGTGCGCTTCTGCCCGGCGTCCTGGCATGCCGAGCGCACTTGCCGAGCGGCATCCTCAACCACCTTGGCCAAACGAGTCATCTCGATGTGCGCCGCCGTGTCGAGCTGGGCTGGGGTGAGCACGACCACGGGCGCAGGCTGCGCCGCCAGGTCGCCCAGCGTCTCACGTAGCTCGGGCCGAGCCGTCAGCAAGGTGGCCGCGGCGGCGCGCAGCTGCTCATCATGCGGGTGAGCACCCGCGGCTGCCACAGAGGCTGCAGCAGCTCCACATACACCATCACCATGGGCGCCTCGCTCCAAGCAGGCACCGCCACACTTCGAGCACACCTCGTGTCCACGATCCGCGTACCCCCAGTGGTTGCAAGCGGAACACACGTTGTATTGTTTCTGCTTGCGCCGTCGGCGCCACTCACCTTGCTCTTCCCGTTGCTCAGGCTGAAACACCCAGCTCCCAGGCTGGCCCCGATAGCTGCCAGTCCGCTGATCAGCAGCGCCGCGGCGCCATGGTGGAGTGGGAGCCATGACCACGGGCGAGCACGAAAGGAAGGAAGGAATCTTGCACGAAAGTGGAGCCATCCGCTCCATCTCGAAAGCAGGCTACTGAAGCCCCAAAGCTAATCGCTGGTTCTCAGGCGCCCATAGCCCTTCACAACGTCCAGCCTTGAGCCAACATGGCTACGGGGCGGAGGTGGAGGAGGGAGGAGGGAAGGAGGAGGAGGAGGAGGAGGAGGAGGAGGAGGAGGAGGAGGAGAGAGCAGCAGGTGGAGCAGGAGGAACAGGTGGATGTGGAGCATTGCGAAGCGGAGGAGGAAGCGAAATTGAAGGAGAAGCGAAGCGAGCAGGAGGAGGAGGAGGAGGAGGAGGAGGAGGAGGAGGAGAAAAAAAACGGGGAGGACCAGGAGGAGGAGAAGGAGGAAGAGGAGCAGGAAGAGGAAGATGAGGAGGAGCATTGCGAAGCGAAGAAGGAGCGGATTACAAGGAGGAACGCAGCGAGGAGGAGGAGGAGGAGGAGGAGAAGAAGGAGCAGGAGGAGCAAGAGGTAAACATGTAACAAGGAGTGAGATGAGGAGATAGAGGATCAAGAGGAGGAGGAGGAGGAGGAGGAGGAGGAGGAGGAGGAGGAGGGGGAGGAGGAGGAGGAGAAGGAGGAAAACGACGAGGAGTAAATACACCAGGAGGACGAGGAGGATCAGGAAAGCGACGAGGATGAGCGAGATGAGGAGGCGGAGAAGGAAGAGGAGGAGAGGGAGGATGAGAAGGAGGAGGACCAAGATGCAGAGGAGGAGGAGGAGGAGGAGGTGGAGGAGGAGGAGGAAAAACACATGGAGGATTAGGAGGACCAGGAGGATCATGAGGATCAGGAGGATCAGGATTACGAGGAGGAGGAGGAGGAGGAGGAGGAGGAGGATGAACGGGAGGAAGAGAGAACGAGGATGATGAGGACGAGGTGTAGTGGAAGGGGGAGGGCGAGGGGGAGACGGATAATCCCACCAGCCCTCTGGGCGTCGGTGGTCTAGAGAGTTTCCTCTTCCAACCCCCTTCTTCCCCTTCGGGGAGGGGTTTACCCCTCCCCCTACCCCCTACCCTGGACCTGGACGGAGGGTTCCGCGGGTCGTTGGGGCGTCCAAGATGGCCCAAGACGGCTCCAAGAGCGAAAAGGCGAGAAGGCAACAAAAACATGGATTCCCGTAGGTTTTGGAAGGATTTTGGCTTCTTTCGGGGCCCAAGAGGCGAGATTCGAGGCACTCTAGAGGGGCAAGGCTAATTGACCCCCCCCCCTTCTTTGATAGATCTCCTCCAACATGGCCCCAAGAGCGCCCCGAAGGCTCCCAAGAGCGCCCCAAGAGGGCCCCAAGAGGGCCCCAAGAGGCGCCCAAGAGGCCTCCAAGAGGCTCCCAAGAGACCCCCAAGAGGCCCCAAGAGGCTCCCCGAGATACGCAGGAGGCCCCCGGGACCGCCAGGAGGCCCCAAAGACGGCCCAAGAGGCCCCCAAGCTCGCCATTGTCCTCCTCCTCCTCCTCCTCCTCTTTTTCTTCCTCCCTCTCCTTCTCCTCCCTCTCCTCCTCCTCCTCCTTCTCCTCCTCCTCGTCCTCCACGTCCTCGCCCTCCTCCATCTCCTCCTCATCTTCCTCCTCCTCCTACTCCCCCTCCTCCTCCTGCTCCTCCTCCTGCTCCTCCTCTTCCTCCTCCTACTCCGACGACGACGACTCCTCCTACATCCTCCCCCTCTTGGGGTATATGGCGGCTTACCCCGCCCTTTGTTCTTCTGCATGCTCCCCCGCTTCCCTCATCACCTCCACTCCCCTGGGACTCATTTCTGGACGGGCTGGTGGGGATACTTTTTTGATTCGCGGCCCGCAAGGAGAAGTCCAGAGGGCGGTATGACCGAGGCTGGGGCACAGCGACAGATAATTGGCGCGACACCGCGCAGAGTGCACCTGCAGATAAATTAGAAAGAGGCGGCCACAATTGGGCAACCAACGAGCACAGGTCAACCCGCAGGTGGGGCCGAACCGTAGCCCTGCCGAAAGCACGCGGACCCAGGCAAAAGCCGCTGAGCGTGTGCCAGCAGAAGAGGGCAACCGCGACAAAGCAGGTGGAAACCAGGCCGGACCCGCAGGTGGAGTACCGACCGGCAGCCTGAAAGGGGGGAGGCAGGGAGGCGCGAGAGAAGAAAGAGAGCGCAACCGTGGAGGAAGCGTGGCGGATCCACTCGCAGCTGGTGGGGATACGCGAAGCGTCTAGAATTTCGTGGAGGCGGAGGAGGAAGACGACGACCATGACCAAAAACTTGACGACGATGCCGACGGCGCAGGCGGATCAGGAGCAGGAGGATGCGCGAACACTCTCAGGAGTCCTTAGCTCAAACAGTGTTGTTTGGCAATATTGGGCACTGGGCTGTCATTCAACGGATGCGGCAAGAGTCCGGGTTGGGCGACCGCAAGCGGTGATACGCACAGCCTGGCGACGAACAGGAGTTTAGGCCCCGCGCACCAGATGGAAAAGCGGGAGAGGGCGACTGCCGCCATGCATCTCACATGATGCCCTCTTACCCCGTGCGTGGTGGGCATCCGCGGTTTCCTCCTCTCGGCTACGCCTAGGAGTGACCCTTTGCTCGAGTGTCTTTTCGGTGCGGGCCCACACAAGCGTCCCCCACACAGCTGCACCGGCCGACGCGCTTGGACTTGGCCCCCCCTGGCCCCCCAAAGCCGCGCACCAAGGGCCATTGCTCTTGCCCAAAACCACTCCCCAGATATCCGACGATCTGTGTTTTTGTTCAATCCGTGGCTCCGTTTTTTCACACCATTCATGGGATCAGTGTGTGATCCCAGGTCCATTTTCGAGGGTACCCTGCGGGCCCGAAAAAGGCCTTGGGAAACCGACGTACAGGAAGAACACCCAGATTGAAAAGCATCTAACTTTCGAATGTTTGGCCTTTTTGCGTGTAGCCAATGCTCCTCTGCGCGGGGCGGCCGTCGCGAGCGCGCCGCCAGGCGGCGCGCCGGGATCCCCTGGCGCGCAGCAGTTGCTGGAGGCGAGGCGCCTCAGGGGCAGCGGCCATGTGGAGGAGGCCCCGTCTACCGCCGAGCTTGTCTTATTCTTGCTCTCTGGTTGGGGTAACGTCCGTTAGATATGTTGAATACCTCCTCTTGCATCCCTCCCCCGACACCCCGTGACCATCACGATCGCACGGGGGGGCGCCCCTTCTCCTCACACTCGCAATCAAGTGGTGGCGTTCGCAGGCAGTTGCGGTGGCCACGCTTTTTGCATGCCGTGGTGCTCGCGCAGCATCGTTGTGCTCACAGCCATACTTTGGCGCGCGCAGGCGTATTGTGGCGCTCACAGGCATGTTTCAGCAGCGGTGTCCTCCAGACCTTCGTTGGCCCTCGTGGCGCTGTGGTGCTGAGAGGCATGTTGCTGGTGCTCGCAGTGCTAGCAGGCATGCTACGGCGATCGCAACACAACGCGGCCTTGCTATGTGGTGCTCGCAGTCCTTTCCAAACAAATTGATTTACCACCTTCCCGAGGCCGGTATTATCGACCTCCCCTGGGGATGTGCAGTTTACATATGATTCTGCACCATCTGTTATTCTAAATGAGTTCATACCGTCCCAGCCAGACCAGGTTCGACCCCCCCAGCATCCTCTGCTGAAGAAACTATGCGTGCAGATTTGTTTATTAAGAATCATGAGTTTTCAAGAGTCCTTTGCCAAACAATTGAACAACGTGCGCCGCGCACACGCGCGCGTCGTCGCGCGCGTATGCCGACACCCTTTGAAAACAATCGGTTCCGTAGGGTTTTCAACATCGAGTGCCCCGAAAACAGATTTGAGCAACACATTGTTTTGCAACCTGACTTCTCCACCAAAAATCAAAAAGAAGCCCATAGGTTCTGCAACATATACATCAGATGCAATCCGTTGCCATTTTGGCTCAAGCTTTCCGTGCTCACGACAAATTTCCTGGCTTGAGGCAGGTTGTATCACAATGGTCATTCACGTGCTCAGGTTTTTAATATATTGACACCCATATGGGCAGTCGCGAATTATTGCATGATTTGCTATGTCGCACCCGCTGCGTTTTACAGTTGGGAGTCAATGTAATGACAGTGTCGGCAGCAACGAAGCCTACGCTTAAAGGTAAGCATGTAGCAGTTGCTTTCCACGTTGCTTATCTCATCGCCACGGTGGGCTTGGTAAGCGCGAGGGATGGTCGTTTCCATGGATGTACCTCCTGATGGTTGCAGCGATTGTTTTCACCACGCAGATCAGATTGATCGGGCCATTCATGTGCCGTTAAAAGGATCAGGAAACTATGCCTGCTTGCATTTTCACACTTACAGCAGCTTGGACAGCCCAGAACTGGATGAACAACTCGTCGGGCACCTTGCACCGCGCAGCATGCATTCTCGATACGCGAAGCGTCCGTACTCGCTCGCCGAGGTGCGAGTGGGCCACCGCGTCGGCTGTTTCTGAGTCGCGGTACGGTGGCTACAAACACATGCGCATGTTCATCATATGCAACCACAAGGGCCTCTCGCGAGCGCATGTCGAAATCATTCGAACGCCCTTGCTCGCGTGCTGCGGGGCGCGATCCCTGTCAAACCATGCCATGCGGGCCACTCGCGCGCGTCGGTCGCGCGCATCTTTCGAATTTCTTTCAAAGCCTTCATCACCGACGCGAGGACACCATTATCGTCATCGACGTGATCAGCATCGGTGCCGTCATTGGCCTTGCCGTCGTCACCGCCATTATCGTCACCATCATCGCTATTGCCATCATCGTGTATGCCGTCGTCGACGGCGCCATAATACCGCGCGCGCCTGAGTGACCGACTCGCAGTGAAGTGCCCGCGCGCCATCGCGGCCTGCAAGACGCGCTGGGAAGTGCCCAGCGGTCAGCGCCACCGCGGCCGCGTCGGTCGCGCCAGGCTAGCTGGCCGCTCTGCGCGCGAGCAGCGCTAGCGCGGCCGCAGCTACGCGCCAGCCATCGCCAAGCAGTTGCGGCAATCGCCGCCGCATGGGTTTTGGAAACCAAGTTGCGGGTGCGCGGTGGGATGAGCGCGCAAACAGTGGAGCTGACGTCTTGAAGTTCGGCATGGTGAATTGCGCAAAATCGGTGCCCCATTCTAAAGGAACGTCAGAGTCTCCCCTCCCCCCCCTTGGACTTCACGGCGTGCCTCTTCGCATTGTTGTTTTTCGCGTGTGATTCCGCGCATCCGTCCGTCCTAAAGGTGAACGATCCTCATCCCAGGCAGTCTTTTATCGACCCCCCCGCCCAGGGGGAGAGGCCCAAGTAAACCCATGGCGATCGCGCTGTGCGCCTGTTATTTAGGCGAGACACCATGATGTAAAGGAGCCGCCCATTAACGATCTCGTAACAACAAGTGCAATCATCTAGGATTCTACAAATCTGGGAAGTGTCCAACGATAGTCCTGTGTTGAGAATGATATGCCTTCCATCCGTGTGCGCGATGCACAATGCCAAAGGTTTGGCAGCACAAGCTGCGGACATTTCATGCGAAAGCCCCGTGTCGAACCTGAGCCACTCTTCATTTTTATATTTAACTGGGAACACGACGACATATACTGCGAGGAAGGTATTAGCGATAACTTTAATTTGAAAACGACGTGTGCTCCATCCTCGTACAGTCGAGAGCCGCATATAGGAAACCACAGGCCATCCATCGTTGTGCATAGTTCTTTCGCTTCAAGCTCGTCAGTTTGTCAGGACGTCGCATGTGGGGCCCAGCCTACGAAACGCCTGTTGGTGCGACATGGGTGATCTTGTTGACAAAAGGAAGAGGGATGCAGGAAGAGAGATGATGGGGAGGAGGCGGAGGTAAAATAACGATGGAGGAGGAGAGGGGAAGATGAGCCTCAAGATTATGATGGTGCGGCTGATGATGATGTCTATGATGATGATGGTGATGATGATGATGATGATGATGATGATGATGATGATGATGATGATGATGATGATGCTGGTGCTGGTGCTGGTGCTGGTGCTGGTGCTGGTGCTGGTGCTGGTGCTGATGATGATGATGATGATGCTGATGCTGATGCTGATGCTGATTATCATGATGCTGATGATTATGATGCGGATGATGACGATGATGATGTTGATGATGTTGATGATGATGATGCTGATGATGATGATGCTGATGACGATGATGATGTTGATGTTGATGCTGACGATGGTGATGGTGAGAAGGATGCGGCGGAGGACGAGTAGGATGAGGAGGAGGATGATCAGGAGAGAGACGAATGCGAAGGAGTGAGGGAGAGAGGAAGAGGAGGAGGAGGAGGCGGAGGAGTGAGGAAGAGAGAAGTGAGGAAGAGAGGAGGAGGAGGAGGAGGAGGAGGAGGAGGACGAGGGGGAGGAGGACGGAGAGGAGGACGGAGAGGAGGACGAGAAAGAGGAGGACGAGAAAGTGGAGGAGGAGGAGGAGGAGGAGGATTCTGCTACGAGGATTCTGCTATCCTGATCTGCCGTGCCATGAGCAAGAGAGCGCGACCGACGACGATGAGACAGCACCACCACCCCAGGCCTCTCCTGGGCGACATGGGGCTGCATCAGAAAAGGCGGTTGGTGGTCGGGTGTCGCCCTTCCCCCAACCGATTCAAACGCCCAGAGATCTTCCGAGGATCGCCCCCAGGACACTGAGACAGAAGACCGAGCCATCTGTCGTGGGCGTACCTTGCACACCGACGGCAGGATACCACTCTTGGGAGGCGCACGAGACGGTGGCCTCTGGCGCGGGCAAGCTCTCTCTTACTTCCGTCCCCGTCCAGATCGGCCCGAGAAGGCAGAGGGAGGCCAGGTGGCGGCAGTAGAGGTCCCGCAGGCGCCTCCACTCCCCCACTCGGTTGCGGGGGTGGGGGCGCGGGAGACTGGCTCGGAGCCGCTCTGCGCGGTTCCGAACTCTCGGAGGTGTCGACGAGCCCCTGGCCGAGAACCCCGACGTACGCGGAAAACTCTAACACATCCGAAACGAGTTTGTATCGTTGGATATACGCTTCTCGCTGCCAGGCTACATGCTCGTGCTGCTTGCCTCCTAGCTTGGCGTACTGATCAGCATATTCATTTCCAGCAAACTGCGCGAGGCCCATGACTTGACGCTGGGCCCGCGTCGCGTGCGCCTTCACTTTCGGAAACCGAATCCCCCTCGGGCCGATGCCACCATTCTCGGCGATCAGGGCCCAGCAGCGGCTCCACGTCTCAGAATGCATCGTGCTCGGCCTCTCGGCCCAGGCTGGGCCGCGCGCGAAGCCGTCGAGAATGCTCTGGCAGTCGGTCCAGATGGTGAGCGGCGGGCAGGCCACCTCCAGCACGCGCCGAACTGCCTCCAAGTCACTCCGGAAAATCGCCTGCTGTCATTGCGCCCCTGGCTGGGGCCCGTAGCAAGCGAACCGCAGTTGCATGTCGGGCGTCAGCTGCACGAACGCCCAGCCTCCTCGCCGCAGAGCCGCGTAGCTGCCGTACAGCAGGCTGCCGTCGGTGTAGACATCGCCCGTGACGAAGCCGTCGAACTCGCCGTGGACCAGGAGGGTGTCCATCGATGGCAAGTCCCACAGCCCGAACTCCACCGCGGGGTCGTTGGCCAACCCGCGGCCCCAGAGCTGCTCCGTGCCTGGCCAGGGGTTGGCGCCCCGCTGCACGATGTGGTGCCCCTTCACCTCGCGGCGGTGGGCCTCGCGCGCGGGGCACTCGAAAGTCCGATGCCGGTCGGTCCCTCGCGCGCCCTGGCAAGCCTGGCAGGTGTCGTTCTCCGCCGCGCCCTTCTGGAAGAGGCGCAGCTGCGGCCACGTGCCCCCGCACCAGAGGGTGCGGACGCGCGCCTGGTGCGCCTGCGTCCAGCGCCCGCGCAGGGGGCGCCTGAGGAGCGCCCGCACGGGCTCCACGAACACGGACTGCAGGCCCAGCTTTTCGCCCCACTTCTCCAGCCAGGCGTCCTTGAGGCCCTGCTCGGTGGCCCCCTTGACGTAGTGCCGCAAGGCGTGGAGCGGCGCGACCCGAAAGTCCAGCACCTCCGCCCCGATGGTAATGGAGTGCGCCGCCTGCGTCATCCAGCCCAGCCTGCGTACCGTCGCCACGAAAGCCCCGGCGGGCCCTCGTACAATCTGCCAGGGGGACTTGGCGCGCCCCACTCGCAGCGCCCACTTCTGCCATGCCGCCTGCAGCTCGGGGATGAGCTCTGGCTGGCGATACGTCTCCCGCCACGCCTGCGCCCAGGCCAGAATCGGCGCCGAGTTGACCAGGGTGCCTGGGTCCACGTCGTCCGCCAGCAGGGCGAGGAACGTAGATCTGCCTTTGGTGTTGCCCTGGAGCGAGGTCGCGACCGACTGCCGCAGCTCGCCGAGTTTGGTATCTGCCATGCCCATGACCTGCACGCCGTAGAGGAGCGAAGGGACCTTGGCCTGGCGCACGATCTTGGCGGCTGGCCCGCCTGCGCGCCTGACGCGCGCGATGCGGTCCCGCCGTGCTGCAAACTTGAGCGCCCTCTTGCTGGAAGCGCCCACCCGCCGACGTCGCCCCGCGGCCGTGGTGACGCCCAGGTGCTTCTCCTCCTTGGCCATGCGCACCCCCAAAGGGCGGATGCGCTTGGTGAGCTCGTCCTGCAGCGGGGTGGTCGAGGCCAGCGTGACCGTCTTCCCCTGCTCGCCCTTGGAGACCACCATGTCCAGGGTAACCTCGAACATGTAGATCAGCGCCTGCACGAGGTGCGGATGCCAGTACCGCACGAACTCCCTGAGCCCCTTCGTCGCCACCGCCAGGTCGTCGAAGAAGAGGCATGTGTCGGCCCACGGGAAAGCTGCCACCACCTTGTCCAGCTCCATGAAGATGACCAGCTTGAGGCAGAAGGGGGAGAAGCGGCTGCCCGCCACGATGCCCCTGCCCCACCGCCTGCCCACGGTGTAGCTGCCGTCCAGTACGATCCTCCGCACCATCGCGTAGATCCTCAGGACGACCTTCAGCACGACGCGGTTGAAGCCCCAGTGGAGCCCCGCATGCCACACCATGGCGTGCGTCACGTACACGAAGCACTTGACCAAGTCGAAGTACGTGACCGCGTACTCGAGGTCCTGAGCCACGGTGGCCTCGCAGAACAGCGCCTGCACCCACGCGGCCCTCTCGCTGGAGCGACCTTTGGCAGCCCAATCATAGGCTCGCCGCTGCGCCTGCTCCCACTGCCTGGCGTACGGCATGCGGATGGTCTCCCATAGCCGCGCGAGCTCAGGCAGCAGCCCGAGGTTCCGAAAGCCCCCAGCCGGCTTGGCGAGGAGGTAGAAGAGGATGGTGGCCTGGGCGGTCGGCCAGGGGGCCCCCGCCTCCACCGCGTTGAGCACGCTTGCCACGCGCGCTGCTCCTTGGTGTCCGCCGTGTTGCCAGAGCCGCGGGTGCCACTCCGACTCCCCGAGGCCCGTCTTGGGGCGGAAACGCCCGCAACTCTCGATCACCTGCTGCGGGGTGATGGGCGGCGGGCGGTACTCCGCGAGCTCGACCTCGGAGGGGGCCTGCATCCACGGCGCCTGCTCGTCCAGCTCGTCGCCCCAGATCGCCTCCCAGCCCGCCAGGGCGCTGTCCGCCGCCGCCTGAGGGTGCACCAGCTCATGGTCATCCGTGGAGGTGGTGGCTGCTGTGGCTTGCGGCTGCCACGGCATTGGCAGCTTCGTCCATCTGTGAAGGGCGCCTGCGCCCTTCTGCCCATGGGTGCGCACCCATTGCCTCCAGCTCGCCGCCGAGGCCCGCTGCGCCGCCCGCCAGCTGCGCCTGCTGGCGATGTCCAGCAGGGTCGCGATGCAGTCGATGTAGTGCATCTCCTTCTCGTCCATCGCGTCGACGTCGAGGCCGCCGACGGTGTTGACCAGCTCGGGCCACCGCAGGGTGTCCCACGTCAGTAGCTGGCCCTCGGGCGGCCCCGGCGGCGGCCCTGGGGCCTGCGCGGGAGTGTGTCCGCAAACTGCAAGTGCGGACACACTCCCGCCCGCGCGCGGCGGCCCTGGGCGCCCTCCCGGGCGTTGTTCCCGCGGCGCCGGCAGCGGCCCCGGCGGCCCCAGGCGCCCCGCTCCAGCCGCCACCCGTGACGTGCCGGCGTCCTCAGCATGCGCCTCCGCGTCGCTCTCAGACACCAGCTGCTGCTCCTCGCCCTCCTCCTGCCGCTCTGCCTGCGCCTGCATCAGCGGCATGATGATGCTGTGGCCCAGGAGGGACTGCGAGACTCGCACGGCCTCGTCCTTCACCTCGCGCTTGCCACCAGCCCACCGCAATCTGACCAGCTTGTGGATACGCCTCAGCTTGTGCGCCAGCCACTCGGCGCCCTCGGCCCAGGCCTGCTGCTTGGAGACCTCCTTCAGCGCCTGCGCCTCGATGAAGGTCCACCTGTACTTGGCAGCGTTGAAGTGCCCCTGCCTGCTGCTGAGGTCCTCCCCGTCGTAATTGAAGTAGCGGTTGAGGTGCAGCTCGTAGGCCACGCCCAGCTCGCTCCAGTG